TAGGGATATTTTGCCTACTTGGAGGATCATGGGACTTAGTAAGTAAGGTTATAAGTCCCCTAATTGGGGTTATAAGTATAGTTACCTTACTTATAACCCTACTTACTAAGTCCCATGATCCTCCTAAACCCTAAACCCTAAACCCTAAACCCTAAACCCTAAACCCTAAACCCTAAACCTAAACCTAAACCTAAACCCTAAACCCTAAACCCTAAACCCATTAGGGAACCCTATACCCTAAAACCCTAAGCCCTAAACTCATTAGGGAACCCTGTATACACCCTAAAACCCTACACCCTAAACCCTAAACCCTAAACCCATTAGGGAACCCTACACCCTAAACCCTAAACCCCAAACCCTAAACCCTAAACTCCAAACCCTAAACCCTAGAGCCTAAACCCTAAGCCCATATGTTCAGCCGAACGGCTGCGCTGCCAGAGACTGCGCGTGGCGCACGGCGCCCACGGCCAGGGAGCGCTCCAACCAAGCAAAGAGGACGGCCCGGTAGTAGCCTGGCGGTGGGGGGTTGCGGGGGGGTTTAGGGTTTAGGGTTCAGGGTTTAGGGTTTAGGGTTTCCGGCCCCTTGAGGTTTAGGGTTTGAGGTTTAGGGTTTAAGGCTCCTAAAGTGTAGAGAGTTTAGGGTTTAGGGCTTCTTTTTCAAACTGCAGGGTTCGGGTTTAGGGTTTGGGGCTCCGAAAGCGTATAGTTTAGGGTTTAAGGCTCTTAAAGTGTTGTATGGGGGCAGATTTTGTGACCTTCATCAGCAAGAGAGGGCATCTCGAAGGGTTGATATGGGGTTTGTGTGGCTCCTAGACGCTGGATGTCCGTACCTGTTTGAGGCTACCTTATTGAGTGGTTCTAGGATCTTAACTAAAGCGGGATATGCAAGAGAAGCACCCGTGAACCCCAAACACCCGAATCATATGCTGCAGCTCGCTGAATCCTCTGGCGTCGAAGTACACACTTTTTGAGTCTGAAACGGAACATTCCGAAATCCCAAACCTAAAGCCCTAAACCTCAAAAGCACAACCCCCAAAAGCCACGCCGTACAATCACACACCATAACAAGATACCCCATAGTATTAGGAGCCCGAATATAGCACTCCAACTAAACTCTAGAAGCCCTTCGCCCTAAACCCTAGACACGAGGCCCCAAACCCCAAACTCTCGACCCTACACCCTAAAGCCTCAACCCTGCATCCTAAAGCCTCAACCATAAACCCTTAAGGTCCCAAACCCTCTACCCTAAAACCGAAAGCCCTAAACCCTAAACCCTAAACCCTAAACCCTAAACTAAACCCTCCACCGTAAAGCCGAAACCCTAAACCCTTAAACCCTAAACCCCTAAACCCTAAACCCTAAACCCTAAACCCTCGAGTCTGATCCAAAGAGCAGTTTCCATCGCCGCGGACCGGCCGCCAGGCTTTGAAGGAGCGGGCCAGTTCGCCGAATTGCCTCGGATGCTGCCCTAAGGGTTTAGGGGTCTAGGGTTTAGGGTTTAGGGTTTAGGATGCTGCCCAAAGGGTTCCTTTAGGGTTCCTTTAAGGGTTCCTTTAGGAGGGTTTAGGGTTTAGGGTTTAGGGTTTAGGGTTCCTTTAATTTAAGGGTTCCTTTCAGGGTTGCTTTGAGGGTTCCTTCAAGGGGGTTGCTGTAAGGGTTCCTTTGAGGGTCCAAGCGACCTAATAACTAGGTACTCGGCTTTAAGTCTTGAACCCTAAACGGTTGATAGGGGGTTTTGGGTTTGGGGATCTGGAGTTCAGGGATTTGGGAGTTTCCAAATATTGGGGTACCTGCTTTTGGGGTCCTATTAGAAGGGTCCTACGCTATAGGGTACTATAGGAGGGTCCCCTATTTTCAGAAACTCCCATTTAGCCTTCCAGGTCTAGGGTTTACGCATTCAGGCTCTGGAGTTTGGGGTGTTTGTCTTCTCAGAGAGAAGACTCCACACCCGAAAGAGTTGTTTAAACGAAATCTAGCTCGTTGTGTGTATCTGGTGTAAAGGAGCTATGCATAGGTAGCTTAAGGCTCTTGATGCATCGTTTTCAAAAGAAATTTAGCCAGCTTTGGGGCGTTTTGGTATATAGAAACTGGTGGCTTCGAGCTTGAGGACGGTGAGGACGGTTTAAGGCTCACTAGATTCCCTAAACCCTAAACCCTAAACCCTAAACCCTAAACCCTAAACCCTACACCATTAAGGCTCACTAGATTCCCCAGTATCCTCTTACCGCTGGAGCGCAGCCTTCCCCGATTCGCCAAATTTGAATACGGAGACTCCAAAAATTCCTACGCCCTAATCCCTAAACCCTAAGCCCTAAACTCTTAAACCCTCATCCCTAATCCCTAAACCCTAAACCGAAACTCCTGAACCCTATAATCCCTAAACCCTAATCCCTAAACCCTAAATTCCTAAATCCTAGCCCCTAATCCCCTGCCCCAATAACCCCCAATCCCTGAATCGAACCCTAAACCCGAAGCCACAAACCCTAAAAGCACTGCCGAAGATGTGCTTCTAGGATATCCGGGGTTTGGTATTTACAGGTTTAGGGCCTAAGGTCTGGGGTGTAGGGTTAAGGGTTGTTGTTGAGGTTTAAGGTTCAGGGTTTAGGTTTTTTGAGGTTTGGGATTTAGGGTGTAGGGTTTAGGGTTGTTTTGAGGGTTTGGGTTTAGCGTGTACCTTTCCATTGAGACGAATGAGCTAGGCCGCCGCAAGACGCCGCAACCCCAAGTCCTAGCCCCTACATATTGCACACAGCTTACGCAAAACCTAAACCCTGAGTCAGAAGCCCAATTGCCCAAACCATCATAAAACGCCTAGCCTAAAGCTCTAAGCTGCAAAGCGCGATTCACAAGCTCGATACAAAACTGCAGCCCTAAACCCTGCAATCATAAGCCCTATAGAAGACCCCCAAACCTGAAGTAGGCTCTGTCTGTAACTTTTCAGATTAAACACAGAGACTCCACAACAACAAGGGTGTATAGCTGAAGGGCTTTTACAACATCAAACCCGCCTCCCAAATCTTCCCTAAACACTGAATGCTGAAACCCCCCAAAATACAAACCCTAAGTTCAAACACGCTGAAGGATCCAAATACCAAAGTTGGATCCTGAAACCCAAAGACCCCTAAATTCAAAGAAGCTGAAGGACTGCTGAAGGTTGGCATTGTGCGGATACTGTTGCTGCAGTGTCTCCTGGGCGATCCATCAAGCGTACACTCTTGGAGTTCCTGGGGTGTTGGAGTCTACACAGACCTGCCCAAAATCCCTTAATTAAGGGATATAACCAAATCGATACCTTGTTTAGGGTTTACCGAGTTTGGTTTTGGGCTCGGGCTTAGGGTTCCGGGCTTTGGTCAGGGGCAAGGACTTGGCAAGTCAAGGGTTTAGGGTTTAGGAAGGGTGTAGGGTTTAGGGTTACGGGTTT